CACCACACACACACACACCCCACACACACACTCACACCACACACACATACACCACACACACACACACACACACACACACACACACACACACCCCACCCCACCACCACACACACACACACACACACACACACACACACACACACACACACACACACACACACACACACACACACATACAAGGTAAATATAACTGGACCGTAATACTTACTGGTGCACTGGACACCGTTTCCTCTGTAAGGACTCTGACATCGGCATGTGTAGGAGCCGGGAGAGTTGGTACAGTCGGCCCGCTCATGGCACGGGGTGGGAGTCCGGGTACACTCGTCGACATCGGTGCAGGTCGCCGTCCCATCCCCCTCATACCCAACACGGCAGGTACAGGTGTAAGTACCGCGAGTGTTGTTACAGTCTGCGTTCTCGTGGCACGGCGGAGGAGTTTGTTCACACTCATTGATATCTACAACACAGTAAAGGCTTGATGTACATTTTGTATTTTACATTTTGTATGTAGACTATATCACTCACATATTCAACATAGCATCATTCACAGCACACTTTTACATTTTACATTCTAGTACAATGTTAAACTTTATTCCACTCATCTTCTAGCATCTCTAATGAACTATCAGAACCAATCAACACTTGTGTATGGTACATGTGCTAGTCGTAGTCGACACTTATAGTCGACACATATAGCATATAGCACTAAGTCAACACAAATAACCAACATATATAGTATACGTGCTAGTCAACAGATATAGTCAACACATATAGTATATGTGCTAGTCAACAGATACAGTCGATACATATAGCATATAGTACTAGTCCGAAATTTATCCAGAGAAAAAGAAGATTGACCTTCCTTACCAGTGCAGACGAGACCGTTGCCAACAAAGCCTGCACGACAAGTACAGGTAAAACTCCCGACCGTGTTCTCACAGTCTGCGTTTGGGTCGCAGGCACCGGCGTCGCACTCGTTGACATCCAGACAGTGTGTGCCGTTAAACTGGTAACCGTTCACGCACTGGCACACGTAACTACCCTGCGTGTTGAAGCACACGGACGGCGCCTGGCACAGGGAAGGGTTAGCGGCGCATTCGTCCTCATCTGGAAGGTAAGAGTATATACGTTTCGAGATGCATAGATTTTCCATGCTGCATACCTTTTTCAGTTGAGGCCATACCAATTTGATCTGTTGGTTCTCGATTTTTTTCAGAAAAAATATGAAGCAACAAAGTGAAAAGAAAAAGAAAAGAAACTGGCCTAGGCATTTTATAATAGCCCAAAAGCTACGATAGGAGCCATAAAGTCAAAGTTCCAGGCTGGTTTATAGTTCAATGAATTTTAAAATTTTATGAGACCAAATGTATTGATAGATGAACACTTGTAACAACTAGGAAGACAATGAGCTTTCGTCAACTAGCATTAGGGTAAAACATGAGCATTTTGGAGTTGATTTGAGTCTTTTGTTTTCATTCAGATAGCGAATCCGAAGTAAAAGCAATGAGTTTGAATAGCTATACTAGCATTTTGGTTGCCCAAGGAACATATAATTCCAACCACCCGGGATGAAACCTGGGAATTTTACCCTCCCTAGCGCTATGCATCCTGGAGAAAAAGTGAATTGAAAGTTCCTACCTTGGCAGTTGGGGCTAGTTCCAGTAAACCCAGTCTTACACTGGCACTCGAATGATCCCACGGTATTGGTACAGTCGGTGTTAGCGGGACAGCGTGAGGGGATGGCCAAACACTCGTCCTCATCCTCGCACGAAGTTGTCCCGTCTCCTCCTTGTAAGCCCTCCGGGCAGCGGCATTCGAAGGACCCCCGGGTGTTGACGCAGGTTGCCAGGGCGTAGCAGGGACTGGGGGTTCGGGCGCACTCGTCGACGTCAGTACAGGTCTTCCCGTCACCCAGGTACCCGTCGCGGCAGGCGCATTTGTAGGAGCCGGGAGTATCGGTACAGTCCGCGTACTCGTGGCAAGGGTAGGGGGATTGGAGACATTCATTCGCGTCTGTGGATAAAAGTTACGTGGATAAATATCTAACGCGCATCCATATCATCTGATGAAACTATTCACGGATGTATGGCCATAGTGATGTTCCATTAGATGTTATTTTTCGGGGCAACAATAATTCTGCAAATCTTTCAAGTTTTAGCAACACATGGCTTGAAGCTAAATGTGTGGTCTAAAAATTTTTCCGAAAGTGGTCTTCGACTTCTCTGCGTTGGTAATGGAAACACAAGCCTAGAAAAAGGTTACCGTCTCACAACTCATCAACTAACCTGTACAGGTGATGCCGTCTCCCTCGAATCCAGGTTTACAGGTGCAGGCGAACCCTGCTGGGTTGTTGATGGGGTCCTGGTTGACACAGGTCGCGTTTTCGTGGCAGTTGTGGCTCCCCTGTGCACACTCATCAATATCTATAAAAACACAAGCTCTCAAACTAAATCTGTGAAGCAGGCTTCTAAAAGCTCTTTCAAGAAAGGTACGATATTGGGTTGAGGGTGCTTACATTACAACAAACATGAGTCAATAGTCATGTCTTCAAATATCAGAGTTATCAACCAAGGATAGAGGTGTTAAAAAACTCGTATATCAAACAATGTTTAGACTTAGTCTAAATCCCTCCTACTATAAAATTGCAACATGATGTAATCCAACACCAGTTACCATGGTGACAGGCGTCAACAAATCAGGTCATTGACAAGGTCAGGGGTCAGTGTTTGGAGAAGAAGAAGAAGAGGAACCGTAGAAAAAACAATATGTTTTCCTTCTGTAAACATAATAACTAGAGATACAAGGGCACTTGGTGATACACAGGATCAGTTCTTTCCAGGGGCAACGTATACGTACCTACACAGGTGTAGCCGTCTCCAGTGTACCCGGAATTACAGTCGCACCTAAAGCTACCCTCGTAGTTGTCGCAGTGTGCGGACACTGAACACGGATGAAGGTTCTTAACGTCGTGACATTCGTCCACGTCTTCACACTCATGATCAGGGTTGCCCTCCGCGCGCTTGTAGCCGGGGTTGCAGTGACATTCAAAGGACCCTATAGTGTTGTTGCAGCTTCCATGCTCGGTGTGACAACGGTAGGTATCCGAATCCAGGCACTCGTCTATATCTGATGAAAAGAAAGCCACATTTTCTTCAATATCTACCTGTACCTAAGTTAAGACCATGTTGATTTGATGATATGGATGTCATCCGCGTGCCAGTTTAAAAAGTTTTCGACCGTGTTGTAAGTCGTATAAAGCAGCTGCAAAATGAGCAAATATATGCCGTATTTAGGTATAATTACAATGAATATTTATGAAAGAATGTAACTATGTTAGTTAATAGCATAGTACTTACCATTGCATGTTATTCCGTCTCCCTCAAAGCCATCGTTACACACACAGCCGTAGCTGGTCCCACCGATGTTCTTGCACCGTGCGTTGGCGTGACAGACTTGAGTGCATCGGGCTGAGTTAAAGTGACGTAAGTTAAAGGGGAAGTAAATTACACTGCCACACGAAGATTTTCCAATTGTAAGTATAATTGTTGAAAAAAAAGATACATAATAATGCTCTTTATGGAGAGCATTTAATAATCATCTACACAGAGGTTCTCACAGAAAATTACGCATAGTTCTTCTGTTAATTATAAGTTCTACTGTTAAGCAATTACCAAATTTGGATCATCCTATAAGTTGTTATTTGCTAAATTATTATCATTTGTTATTAATTGTTTGTTAATTCAAAGGTTAGTTAAACCATTCGCAATGTATTCTTATTTCTATCAAACGTTTCTTTTTGTTTAGTTGTGGGGAAGGTCTCGGATAGACGAAATTGTTACCCCAGGACACTCTTCTTGTGTATGTTACTTTCTAATGTTCTTTATTATTTGCATGATATGTAAAAAATAAAAGAAAGCTGTAGTATACCTGCGCACGTGAAGCCATCTCCGGTGTACCCGTCGATACAGGTACAGGTAAAAGACCCCTTGGTGTTAGCGCAGACGGCAAACTCGTGACATGGGTTGTCCTGACACTCATCAACATCTGACAACAGAGAAAACAAGATAAACTGAAGTAGAGTAAGCTTTAAACACCCATGCTGATTGTAGCAGCACTGGAATTTGGAAGTTATTATCAGAAAGACATAGTTAGATGTCTTACAGTCTTGCAGTTAAGAATTAAGAATCACGGTGAAATTCAATACAATGTGAAATGAAATGACCTTTGTTGTTCTTTTATGCTCTTACAAGCTAAGTACAGGTCATAAATAAATAAGCGTCATAAATAAGTAAGCATAAAAATATCTACACAAAATTTACATTTCACACTATACATACTATACACACTAAAAACTAAACGAGTAATGTATATTCTTTTAAAATACCTTTCTCGCAGACATATGGTAGCTCTGTGCTGCAGCCCATCGGGACCCACTTGTTCCCCGATCCCCTGGTGAGGGCCACGCAGTCCTTCACGTCACTGTTCCGGGTGTTAGGGTCCCACTGTGCCGGTACTCCCACCGGCGTGTTCACCAGGTCATCCCACACGAAGTTACCCTCCGCGGCTCTGTCGTTCAGCCCCAGCCAGAAAGAGTCTAAGTCGGAGAACTGAGTCAGCAGCGCCTGGTGTTTCTCCTCGCTCATGTCCGTCAGAAGGTGGCTGCCGGTCAGGATACTTTCACAGTTACTCTGTGCGGAGGTCCACATAGCTCGACTGTTCTTCCTAGTTTCACAAAACAAGTCGGTATTATCAATAATTGATTAATTGATTCGTTATATTCTTTCATCTACTTGATCCCGAAAATGGGACTACCTTTACCTTTGTTACCAAGAAGCAAGATTCAATGGAAAGCATAATGCCAAAAACTGGACAAGAATCTTTGTCACAACCTTTACTAATGAAATATATATCAAAATGTAATAGTATATAGATAAATAATAATAAAGATGGAATATATATCAGAATCTACAAGAAAGTACTAGCATATGGATAAATAAAGTTCAAATGACGTGTTTTCAGAAGAAAGTATTTAGAACACTAGATGTAACAAAATAAAATACTGGCTGTGGACAAATGAATGTATCAAAACATAATGGACATATGAAATGATTAACTAAAATTGTTTATCTTAGACTTTGACTATTTTATTCTATACGTACAGTACCTACCAATAACAGTGTCCGAGGAATCTTATATTGAAGGCTTGATGACAGAACCCATATTGTTGAGCATCTGCAGTATAGAGTCCAACTGAAACAGAGCAGAGGAGCATAACTGTCAGTTAATTTTAATTATTTTCAAAATGTAAACAAAACTCCCATGCTGTATTAATAGTACAGCACTAGTAAGAGACTGGAAACTGTTCAAAATCAACATATTATTTCTTAGCACCTGTTCAAATGTGAATATTCTTCATCATCATCATCATCATCGGTCGACCGTATTGGTCGGGGATATACCGCCCCTTACGAGGTGGCATACCCTTTCGTTAGCTTAATACAAGACGGGGTTCGCCACGCCTCCGTCCGAATATTCTTCAATGACATTATTTCTTGTAGCATCAAAGATAATATTAATATTGGTATTTTGATAAAATGCAGCAGCTGTGTGACACATACTACTTGTAGATATTGTGAGAAACAAGGCAGATATATGGTCATGTTTTGAATGTTAGATACAAAAGAACATCTCAGCCATGTAATGTGACATTTACCTCAGATTGCGCTGCCCAAATGTTACGCTAAGTTAAGAGTGTGTTTCTCGTCAAAGAACCAACTGTGCGAAACAATATTTTTCCTGATCATATTCATGGCTATTTGCCTGATATATTCCCCTGAAAAATTCATGGCTATTCAAAGCATTCAGTTATGTTTTCATGTGCTTCGACAAGAGAGAAGAAACCGTGATTAACAGTAGATAAACAATTGTACATAGCATTGTTTTATTACGTTTAGTATTTAGCGTTAGAATGTAGCATTTCAGTATTCTATACTCTATATCTTACACCATCCAGACGACTCACAGGTAACCCATTTGGGCAGGAATACGTAAAAGAAGAAAACAATATGATTATTATACATGCAGTTCACTCCGTCGACCGTTCTAATAAAGGTCAAAGAAACCATTGCAACATTCAAAGGCGTCAGGCGCATTTAGAAATTTTCGATCAGATATTACACCAATAAAAGCCAATTTCCAAGGTAATGGCACTTCCTCTTCCTCTTTTAAAGGAAACTAAAACGTCCATTCAATGTATTGCGTCAAATGTTACAATGAAGGTCAAGGTCATCTTTGTAACTCTCGAAGGCATCAGGGGCATTTAGACATTTTCGATCGTTTATTGAACCAATAAAAGCTTATGGCAAGTCTACATCTGATTTCAAGGACAGTGCTAGCAAGATGTCTACATGGAACAAAGTAATTGATTCGACCTGAGCAATTGTCATTGACCTCACGGCGGCCATCTTGAATTGATTTGTTGTCTCCCATTAATTGCTTGATCTTGCCGATAATGACTGATTTTTTAAATGATTATCGGCACAAATTGTGCAGGGGTTGCGATATATATGTTGGCCTACCAAAGCCGTATCACTTTAGGTCAATGAACCAATGGTGAGTGTTGTGGTTTTATTTAATTATTCATCTCAACAAGTTTTTGGGCGTTTACTTGCTCACAAGAGGCCGTGGGGCAACATTTGCTACATCCAATTTCAGCTGAAAATGGCTAATGTTTCGGTAATTTCTCATCTATTGCGAGGGAAAATCTTTATTTCTCCACCTTTTTACGACAATGTCTGATCCTTAAGACGGCATGCACCAAAACACTGTGTCACTAGAAATGGTTTAAGGAAGCTGTGAGAAGAAATGGCAGAGTTTGTGGGTAAATTGGGTACGGCTTGTGGTGGCCGTCACTGAACAGGAGGAATGTTGGCAACGATCAAACTCTGACAGGCGAGGACGTGCCTTCACTACTAATGAGGCTGACGGGCCGTCTAATACTATAGAAAAGAACCATGTCTGACAAAATGGCGCGTGACTTCCAGATCTACCAAACCAATGGATCAGCTTAACGTCCCGTTTTTAATTGTTTTTATATGATGAATATCGACGCTTTAAAGTGTGCGAATAGTCGGTGGTTTGGGAACGCCTAATAAGCCAGATGACTCTTTTACGAGTTGAACTTAGTGCTTCATAAGTCATTAACAATGGAAGAGTTCTATGTAATATAAACCTCTAATAAGGGACGGTTCGTACGTTTTCCTAGGAGGTATGAAACAGAATTTTCTTAAGAAAAATTTTGTCAAAGTGTGGGACAAGACGGAGACAGGTAAGAAAAATGTCCGAACCTATGGAGGAGGGTTGGGTGGGCCTCTACCATATTTGGCGAGTGGCTGGAAAGAGTAGAAACTTGAAAAGAACAAAAGAACAGGTTGCCGATCCCGTTGCATATTATCTGTCCATTTCAAATCGTATTTGGCCCATCTCTACTCTTTCCAGCCGCTAGCTTCCCGAAGCCTGATCGAGGCTATATAATTCATGGAAGACAAAGGAGAAAACCTAGCCTCTACCAGGCTTCGGGAAACGCTTGAAAAGAGTAAAAGTCGGGTGCGGTAAAATGTACTCTCCAGCGGACAAACTCCTTTGGCATGTTATCTCTCTATTTGACCGATTTCTACTCTTTCCAGCAGTCTCCCAAAGCTTGGTAGAGGCTAGAGGAAACTAAAATTCTCCCAAGGTGCGTGAGAGCCTGTCAAGTAGACTAATTGATAGTCTCCTGTCATATCTGACCACATGAACTCTTCGGTGGATTCGTGTCTGGATGAAAGGTCAATTAAGCAATGCAATCAACTCAAGTAGGACTACGCCCAGAATGAGTCAGAACTGTGTCAAAATTTTGCCTGAAATTCACACGCTCCCACGTGGTGATCTGATCTTGTAAAACAATTAAGACGCATCAAGTTCAAGTTTACTAAATCTCAATTCAAGATATTTGCCTTGCTGGCATCACAGATACATTGTATAGCATGACCTTGCATATTACTCAAGCCATTGCACAGCAATTTTGAAGAAAACAAGAAAACAGCAATGTAAGGTATTACCGCTGAGAAGAATGATCTGAACGAACTATTTCCTTTTATTTTTTAGCCTTGTGTAGTGCTTATAGGAAGATATGAGACAATATCATATCGACACGATATTCTAAATAACGATATGAATTGAAGTGGAAATAACACTTACCCCCGCCTAAAATTCCCAAGAGGGCGAATCCAGCTAGAATTGGAGTTTTCATCTTGACAAGTTTTTCCGGCACGTAAAGAAGTCTTTGTGATGTTTAGACGTCGATGTTTAGATAGTTGTTGTTGCGCGTTGAAAGGAAAATCCGTAAAATGTTGTTACATTGTGTCTCCTATGGTGTGTCCTCTACATGTTTAATCGGACTTGGCTGAATGTAAAACCCTTAAGGGTGGACCGGATTTCAGCTGCCAGACCCCCTGAGGCGTCCAATCAGCAGCTCGGAAACAAACGTGCCTGAAACTATTGCCGTGTCACATGTGTAAGCAGAGGTCAGGCTGCGTCGGCAACAATGGCGTCTCATTGTTGACATTTAAAAGGTTAGAGGTCAATGTGTGTCGGCCATTTTGTGAAGGAACCTGGTACATCTCGCTTATGAAATTTTATAAACTTCTTTTAAATGAATCAAAAGACTTCTATTTAGTATAAAAATCTACCCGAAGACGGTTTTTAACACCAGTTTAGTGAAGGGCACCGCAAGACTTGCAAGTGATGTAATTGTGTGTCCTGGAGTGAAAAATCTAACCGGTTTGTCCACTATTGCCGAGCCTATAATTTGTGACAAATGGGCTCTTCAGTCTAGGTATCAGCTCTTTGTAACCAAGGCTATTGATACAACGGATAAAAAGTCAACTCGTAGGATACACTGTGAAAAGTGTGACCTTTTCTTTTAGATACAATTCCCTTACCGTATGTGTGCAAGCTTGAACTTTTAGATATATGTAAGACATTCGAAGTTGCTGTCTCTGAGTGGACACTTCTTGTTGTTTCACCTCATCTGATCAAGGACAACTTTTACCTTAGGCTACCGGATACTTAGAATGTACAGGCGGTATGCAAGCTCTTTGAGTAGTAATTTATGTGACAAGTGTCCCAATCAGTAGGTCTGAACAAGTAAGATTTCGGCTCAGTATGCCCCCCCCCCCCATAGACCGCACTGCACTTGTCTTCTTCTGACTCAAGTGATGGGGATGAATTCTGTTGTTCCATCGGTTATCAATCATCTGAAAATATTACGTTTGCTTTTGTCGATCATAAGGGTCCTAGGGTAGCAGAAAACAAGTTTCGCCCAATGGGGATTTTAGAACTCCAAGGTGACTTCGATGCGGCAAAATTATGGTACGGTGCACTAGAAAAACAGGACCAACAGTGCAATCTATACAAAATACCTGAAAACAGCAAGTTTATGGATGTTAAAACATTATAACACTTTTATATGACCTCCTACTATGTATACCGCGTCATAGCCCCCTGAGGGCGCCCATTAATACTGTGGTCTTAAGGATGGAAGATGATCCATGTGTTGCCCCTCCCCCTATCCCAGCAGTCTTTGAGCGGTAACATGTAGTGACAGGTACACGTTGAAGGTGTGGTCATTTAAAAAAATAAATAAAATTCTGTCGACGTATTATATCGGGTTGTCACGCACACTCTGTGGAGGTCAACTGAACTGCAGCCGACTCACCCGGAAAGCCAATACGGCGCATTTATACACGAACTGGAAAACCTTTCACAATCCAAATCATACAGTCGACATGTTTCTATACCACACAGCACAAATGACATCTGGCTACCTCTTACATAAGATTTTCTGGCCCGGCTGTACGAGTTTTGTTCGTACTAATTTCTTTACCCGCCCATTAATACTGTGTTACTGCGGCCTTGAGATAATTTCTCTCACTTAATTACAGGTGTGACACAAGGTTAGCATTTCCTCATAGGACAGACATGTGTCTGTGACATGTCTGAAGTCTAGGCCCTTTTCTCACTAGGATAAAATTGTCCGAATAGAGCCGAATTGATTCGCTTTGATCCGCCTTCGATATCCAGCTTCGAGCCGGATCTGAGCCGAATCGAGCTGGATCGAAGCCGGATCAAAGCGAATCATTTCGGCTCTATCCGGACAATTTATCCTAGTGGGAGTGGGGCCCCAGTCCCTAGTCGTTTGATGTTGTCTGATCAGCGCGCGAGGCTATTAATTATATCTTCTCTTGAAGCGTATTCAAACACGTTTTGTCGTAGGATTTGTATCTCATATACTGGGTAATCAGCCAGCCTTTTCATGCATGACATTATTTGGTTGCAACATAATCAAAGTCCGTTTATATAAGCCACAAGATCATCAACATGTTATGACTTGCTGGAAAATAATGACTTGCTGTTCCATACATTTTTTTTGTTTCTCATGCATGCTTTCGCCCAATGAAAGACAATAACAACACAAATTATTTTCAGATTTAATAAAAGAAAGCCAGCAACGTAAATACATATCATATTCGGAAACGCCCATGTTAATAATTTGATTGCCATTTCACTAGCAGCTAAGGCATATCTACATGTAATACCGCACTGTGTATATGATCAAGCGTTTCTATGATTTTCAACGTTACGTTTGCCTACTAAATGCAACATTTGAGTATACAATCAATCAAAGTTTTATAACGACAATTAGATAATCATCGTTGTAATATAACGGTCAGCCAGTCCATTAAACTATAGCAACGCAAGTCCAGCAATTCAAACGATATTGTATTGGCTGGTTGAAGGGTGTCTGTTAAAGAGAACACAGCAAGTATCTGATATATGTGCATTTCGTTTGCGAATGTATCGGTCCCCTGCTTTTGCCTTAATATATTAGAGTGTTAGATTTTCATAGTGTATCAGATAGATTAAGTACAAGATCAGTGCTCTTACGACAACTCTTGAAGAAAGTATCCACAAGAACACAACACAACACAAGAAATACCTACATAGTCTTCTTTTCAAATTTCAAAAGGACAATAGTAGCAGTGCAACATAGTAGTTTCTGCTTTAGTGATGAACTCGATGTAAAGCAAAGCGAATTCAATATGAATTAACAATGCTGTTCCGTCTATTTTGCGACTCATTTTTTTGCCAGCATTTAGATATGTACAGTAGATGTAGTTAAGGTATTGGTGTACTACACAAGACCCGTCCTTTACGTACACAAACCTTAAAGCATTATGTAAATGTTCGTTTTCTTCATTTTTGTATACCTTTAGGCAAGGTTGTTTTTTTAGGTCTTTAGACGTCCAGGTTCTCCAGGCTACCAGCACGGGAGCTGTGGGCTGACTTCCTGGGTGGTGGTGGTGTGCCTTTCGGCATCCCCGGGTTGTACATGGTGTCGGCATCCTGCAGAAGCAGACGAACATGTTACAAAATAAAACTAGGCTATGTACACTTGTAGTTGACTTTGATGATGATGTTCGTAAACTTTCCAAAACAACAACAGCTTTAAAAAACCATTGCGCCGGAGACAGAGGTTCAAATTCTTTCCTTAGTGCAAAACTCTGACAGTGTTCTGTCTCGGCAGTCTTGTTGCTAATGCTGAGTGAGAGCTGATATAGATATACATAAACAATAAACTATGCATTTACCTTAAGGCGAATATCCCGGATTGGCTCCTGCACGTAGTATCTGTAGAACAGAAGATAATCAATTCATTAATATTTTGTCTTGGGCAAACATTCGTGAGAAGTACCGAGTTAGATGTACTTGACTAGTTTATGTTTAATTGAATTGATTAATTAATCAGTTAACGTTTAGTTAGCTGTACTTAAAAGGAATGTAACAATGTTATAGAAAGTGACTTACTTCTTGGGAGTCGTCCTGCGCCCCCGTTTGGCCCAGCACAGAATCAGGCCGCACATGAAGACCAGCAGGAGGGCTGCAAGTGATGCAAGCAGCGCCACCAGACCAACTGTACCCAGACCTGCAATCACAGGAAAATCAATGTACTGACATTAGCAAGCAGATGAAGAATAACCTTATCATTTCTTTGTTTTCAATGAGCTGCTCTGAATACATTTGTTTGTTTATAATCTTTCGAAACGAACCCCTCGCTTTTGTTGTTGAGCGAGAATTGTAAAAGCTACCTCAGTAACGCATTTGAATGAACATTGTAACTGCATTTCATAGTATATTATCAGGGTTAGACCTTTAAGATAGCCTCCGACAAGTTGGGCAGTCATGACTGTATCATACTATACAGTTTGTCAAATCAAAACAAATCAAAATAGCTGCAACATGACAAAGTTGCCAACCATTTCATCATATCATATGGGTTGCCCACATAACTATATGATGCTTAATACGTGTCAAAAATATAAAATTTGCCTGGGATATTTCTTTGAAATTTAGTGCAAGTAGTGCTACATAGTACGAACAAGCAAAGACGCTTAGAGCCAGCGTTTTGTATGGTTGGTTACCTGTTGGCGACTTGGTTGGACCAGAACCGGAAATAGGACTGCCTGACCCGGAACCAGTTCCATCCGCGACCTCAGATACATCAGCTGTGAAGAAGGCAGTTTGGAAGGTGAGTCAAAACGGCCTTTGTACATGGTATACTCGCACTGAGACAGGTATAGAACAGATGTATATGATTATTAGCAATTTTAGAACAAGAGGCCTTGGTTAGAAGCAGTAGGAAGCTAGCGGCGTACCTGCACAGCTGATCCCGTCTCCGGTGTAGCCATCTCGGCACGAGCACTGGAAGGAGCCGGCGGTGTTGGAACAGTCGGCGTTAGAGTCGCAGGGGGAGGACGTGGTGCATTCATCCACGTCCCGACAGGTCTGCCCGTCTCCCTGATACCCCGCCAGGCAGCTGCAGGCGAAGGAACCAGCGGTGTTGGTGCACTGCGCGTTGGCTCCGCAAGGTGAGGCGATGCACTCGTTGATGTCCGCGCAGGTCCTCCCGTCACCTTGGTAACCCTGGCGGCACGTGCACTGGAAGGAGCCGATCGTGTTGGTGCAGGCGGCGTTTGCGTCACAGGGAGTGGACGTGGTGCATTCGTTGACGTCCCTACAGGTGCGGCCGTCACCTTGGTAACCGGCGCTGCATCTGCAGAGGAAGGATCCAGCGGTGTTGGTGCAATGCGCGTGGGCATCACAAGGGGGCGTGGAGGCAGCACACTCGTTGATGTCGGCACACGTTTGTCCGTTGCCATGGTAGCCAGCACGGCAGGTGCAGACGTAGGATCCGACCGTGTTTCTGCAGTCAGCGTTATGGTCGCAGGGGGGCGTGTCTGTGTCTGAGCATTCGTCGATGTCTGTGCAGTGGAAACCGTTGCCATGGTAACCAGGTGGGCAACTGCAGGTGAAGGAGCCGTCGGTGTTGGTGCAGACTGCACGAGAGTCGCAAGGTGGCGTGGAGGCTGAGCACTCGTTGACGTCGCTGCAGCTGAGGCCGTTCCCCGCGTACCCAGCTCGGCATCGGCACGTGAAGGACCCGCCGTCGTTTACGCAGTCGGCGTTCGCGTCGCATGGAGTGTTTGCCAAAGTGCAGCCGTCGGTACCGGGGGTGCAGGTTCTCCCGTCGCCTTGGTAACCGGGTCTGCATCTGCACGTATAGGAGCCGTCGGTGTTGGTGCAGTCAGCGTTGCTGTCGCAAGGAGGCGTTCCCTCGCTGCACTCATTTACATCTGAGCAGGTGAAGCCGTCGCCTTGGTAACCGGTATTGCATTGGCAGGTGTATGAGCCGTCTGTGTTGGTGCAGGTCGCCTTTACGTCGCAAGGTTGCGTTCCCGAGCTGCACTCATTTACATCGGAGCAGGTGAAGCCGTCGCCTTGGTAACCGGTATTGCATTGGCAGGTGTAGGAGCCGTCGGTGTTGGTGCAGGTTGCCTTGGCATCGCATGGGGGCGTTCCCTCGCTGCACTCATTTACATCGGAGCAGGTGAAGCCGTCGCCTTGGTAACCGGTATTGCATTGGCAAGTGTAGGAGCCGTCTGTGTTGGTGCAGGTCGCCTTTACGTCGCAAGGTTGCGTTCCCGAGCTGCACTCATTTACATCGGAGCAGGTGAAGCCGTCTCCTTGGTAACCGGTATTGCATTGGCAGGTGTAGGAGCCGTCTGTGTTGGTGCAGGTTGCCTTGGCATCGCAAGGGGGCGTTCCCGCGCTGCACTCATTCACATCGGAGCAGGTGAAGCCGTCTCCTTGGTAACCGGAGTTGCATCGGCAGGTGAAGCCATCGGGGGTGTCCGTGCATGCCGCGTTGGCATCGCAAGGCGAACTTTCAGCACATTCGTTCACAGCTGGGAAATAAAGAAAAAATATACGTTTTTAATGTCTGCAAATTAGAATCTAGAAACATATTTATCTTCAATGTCTGTCAATTAGAATCTTTGGATCTTATGAAGGGCAATAAAAGCATATACACAGGTTCACGTTTTAAAATGATTTCAGAAAGTGTACGTACTAACCTGGTATGACATTGTTGGATGGTGTGGACAATGGCTGCTCAGATGCCGGGATGGCTGTAAAAAGATAAAAATCAATTTAGTCAAGTCTAGCATTGTGGCAAGTTATAAAGTAATCCACGCAGTTAACGTTAAACATTTCAGGAACCTGGCCCATGTACTCACCTTGTTTTTCGCACAGGTATCTGAGTCCTGTGTTACAGTCCAGCCGGGCCCAGGCGAAGTTGTGGTCCCGGACTATGGCGACACAGTCGGCCGCTTCTGTGTTGGGTAGAGACGGGTCCCACGGGTGGAAATTGCCGAGAGGAGCCCCGTATTCCCAGACAAACGTTCCCTCACGTGCTACATCAGTCAGCCCGATCCAGTAAATCTTCAGTAGATCTTCCTTCACCAGGTAGTCGTACTTCTCTTGTGTGATGTCTTGTACCAGTCGGCCGCCGTCGTTAGCACAGTCGGCTCTGGCGTGCTGGTAAGTATTCCTGCACCCTTGGCAGTCGATCCTTCGAAAACAGTACTTATCAAACTGTCCATCGTCGTAGTTTGCCGGACAAACAGTTACCGGGGTTTTCAGACTCCCATCGGACGCTTGGTCACTACCACCTGCAGATCCAGCGGATGTCGCTTGGGGCGTTGTGAGACCGTTGACGGAATGGTGTGGTGTGGTCCCGGCTGCAGGCTGAGGATTTATCGTTGCCTTGGTTACTGGTTGAATGACAGGCAGGTCTGGTATGGCATCTGTAAAAAGATTTAATACAGCTTCGTTTGTTTGGAGTCCACATGGCTACAGGACACGTTTTGCCACTTCTAAGGAAGCAAACCACCCTTTCTTCCTCCATACTCCATCTCTCAGGAGAAAGTTCAATGCTGAAAGCTTCTTTCCTATAGAACTACATGACTTTAAGCTTCCTTGTCAATGCTTCCTAAATTTCAAATCTAAGGTAAACAAATATGTCTTTACAGTCCCTTAATGTCACCCATACGCATGTGAGTGGTTCAGATGATCCTTGCTTAGAGTTGAAAATAGAAGTACACAAAGCGTCCAATTCAAAAATAATAATTAGACGTGTGTGGATTAGAAATTTGACGTGTACATATGCATACACCTACCTGTTTCACAAAGGTACCGAAGTCTGTAGTTGCAGTCCATGTGTATCCACTTGAACTGCGTCTCCCTGCCCATCGCCACACAGTCCCGGTCTTCTGAGTTTTGCACGGAGGCATTCCATGGTGCTAGCGAGCCCAACGGCAATCCGTCATTCCATACAAAAGACCCTAGAAAACGAAATTATCATTTTCGTATCGTTATTTTCCTTGATAATTAACTTCATGTGGAAACAAAGAGTCATGTCAGAAAAGTACACACAAATATAGAGTAACTATCCAAAAGTGGAGTTCTAGTCTACCCTATTGGGTCTACCTCTTTGCTACTAGTATCTGTTGTATTTGTTCAATTTACCTTCAGTTTGGATGTCGTCCAGTCCTATCCAGAAAGCCCTGTGTGAGTCTTTCCGTACCAGAAAGTTGTACTTCTCTTCGGTCTGGACGGTGACGATGTGCCCGCCGATGAGCGCGCACTCGTCCCGTGCCTCCTGGTAGGACGTCTTACACGTCTGACAGGCGACTCGCTTGAAGCACCTCCCTTCGTACTCACCGTCTTCGTAGCCAGCTGGGCACGCAGCTAATACATACACAACACAAATATCACGTAGGAATGTCGCTGAACACAGTTCTATGGATCAGGTGTACTAGCTCGAGCTAAGTTAGAAATACAAACGTAACAAGGCAATCTGAAATGTCACCCCTTTAAGCCCCGGTCACACAGACGCAGACAGACTGACATCCGGAATGACTTCCTCAGATAGGTAAAAAATGCATCTACAGGACATTAGGATTTTCCTTTACACAGCCAGTAATGTCTCTCACTGCTTACGTCTTGACTGACAGATACACGGACAGAGAGACGCACCCAAAACTTAATTAGTTTGCTCATTCGAGGTGAAGTAACATTTGTTCTAATGAAGGTGTCCTTGATGTCACAAGGGCGTGATCACCAAGGTGTGGAATGAAGGGGGTAAATTGGGTGTGTTCTATTTGCATTTTCCTTCTGACTGAGTTTTGAACACATGTTTGTATGGAGCACGTGTGGTATTTTATCCTGACCTTCACGAAAATTACTTGTCCAAACTACACCCAAAAACTGACGCTCGTGATAGTACAACATCGGGGCGTATACCTGATATGATATAATTAATCATAATATTAAGGGCAAATTGGGTGTGTTCTGACGTAATCTTCTTGAAATTAAAAATTGCCCGTTTAAACTACGCCCAGGACAGACGCTCGTGATAGTACAACATCGAGGCGTATACCTGATAGATATAAGTAATGGGAATGATTATCTTTATATTTAGGGCAAATTGGGTGTGTTCTTACGTGATCTTCTTATAATTTAAGATCGTCAGTCCAAATATTAAACTACACCCTAGGACTAACGCACGTGATAGTACAAAGCTTGGGCGTACTCCTGCAGGCCTGATAGTCAGAATATAATGGAAATAATCATCATTATTACATTTTGGGCAAATTGGGTGTGTTCTATACGCATATTCCTTATCCTGACGTGATCTTCTTGAAATTTAAAAAGCTAAGTCAGTTCAAACTACACCACGGCACTGATGCTCGTGATAGTACAAAGTTAGGGCGTATACCTGATAGAATCTAATTAGAATAATTAGCCCATTAGTTCTGTCATTATGTCTTGTAAATTCTCCTTCTGCAGCAAACGTTGCCGTCAACTATATTCCTACGTTACATCTAATCCCATTTAGGCAGAATCTGCATCGTACAGGTACATAAAAATCGATGGTCAAAAAAGGTATTCTTTCAATAAACTGGGATTCTATTGAACCTTGAACCTTAAACGGGGACATCTATTACGGATTCTATTAAGTTGGCAAATTACCAGAAAAGTGCGCTGTTTCTCACAATTACTCATTTGTAGCAATAAAGTGTCGTTAAAAACATAATTACCCACTCTAGGTCATTGACCTCTGTGGAAGGACTTTCTCATTGATTTTCAATCAAGCTAATTATATTAATGTACTTCTGACACGTTCTAATGGTTTTAGTCAGGTTTTGTAGGTGGGTCTTTCGGAAGATGACCCTCCCATATTGACTATTATTACTGTTGATATTTGTTTGATATTTTCTCCCGACCTTCTCCCGACTTTTCTACAAACTACGCCCAAGTAAACGGCGCTCGTGATAGTACAGAACCAGGGCGTATACCTAACAACTAATTGAAAAATTATCCTATTTGTTCTGGCGCCATGCCATGTACTCTTTCTGCGCAACATCGAACCCTGCGGTACGCTACATTCCCACGGTACATGAAATGTCATCTCACTCAATCGAGCAAAATCAGAGTCAATGGAACATGAAAAATCCACGATCAGAGAACATATATCTCTTCAAGAAACTGGGAATCTGCAGATACCCTTTAAGTAACTTACCTTAAGACTAAAACAATACTATCCCAATGTATATCAACACACATAGAGCGAAAATGCAGAAAAGTGTGACAGAATTAGAAAACGGTTACTGGTACTCGTAGGATCCTGGACTGATTTTTTGGGTACTACCCAGAAAATAAAGGACTCCTCTTGGGACTGTTTCTGCGCCCAAAGTATGAAATACCGATGCAAATGAGCTAACATGGGGCAGATTGCCTTATTCAGAATATTCCTTTTTTTGCCGCTATGAAATTGCTTTGGCCTCTTCAGCTCTGAAAAGACTTCCGAAACTTTAGAAGAAATGAAATGTACTCACCCATAGTTGACTTTACTGCGACGAACATTACGATGAAAACTGCTGCAAGCTGCATCTTGATACGATAACAAACAATCAGTAGGAAAATATATTATTATAAAAATAATCTCTGTCTCTCTCTAAGTCTTGTCTTGTCTGTTTCTGTATTTTGTTGTGTCTATAAATGGAGAGCAGTGGTTTATATAGGCTAGTAGGAGTGAATCACATAGTATGAAGACCGCGTCATTGGATGAATCTACACGTGGTCTCTGACGTCACGACAAGATGGCTGCCAGTTGGTCGGGTGCCAACTCTCACGCCCGTATTTGTTTGAACCTGAACAACCTTATTTCAAAAGTCCCTAAACAAGCAATTCTTTCTTTTTAAAAATAAGAAAGGAGTAGAAAATACAACAAACTGTGAGAACACGTCGCTTAGTGACTGACTGACTAAATGACTGACTAAAAAGAAGGAGCGCCAGTTTCGTACTTGTGTGGTTAACTGCAGACGTAAACAGTTGCGTGTTTAAATTTGACCTCTTCGCCTCAGGGCTAGCCAATTAGCACACACGTCACTGTTTGCCAATCAAAACTCTCGTAGTAGATTTGTACATGCCACGAGTACTGTTCTCTACGTACGTTGCGTGTATTTCAGGACTCTTGACGTCGTTTCCATGGGATGATGAACTTAACGCATAAATAGCTTGAAAGATGTAAATCTTAATCATCATGGCGTCATGTGTAAACGTAATGTAATGTCCTTGACGCTAGTTCTTTTTTTCTGTGCTGTAATCAGAGGGTTGTTTTGCACTAAAATGTGCACGTCTTGTATTAGATAAGCCTAATCAGTTGACGCACAGCATTCTCAGAGAACAGTCATGCCTAAATACTACTAGTATTCATAACCTAGCCTCTATCAGGCTTCGGGAAGCGGCTGGAAAGAGTAGAAATTTGCCAAATAGAGAGTGATCCGCGCTAAGAGAAAAGCTTGTCGCTCCCGATCTACTAGAGGCTAAGGTTTAGTTATTATGCTGCACTGTACTATTTTCATGATCACAATGGATAGTCAACTCAATTAGCCGCCTTCCGAAGCCTGGTAGAGGCAACTCATGAGGAAGACTGGTGTCCCAGTGCTTAAGGCATGTAATAGATTAATTGTGACAGACACAGAAGATACACAGTAAGGTGTATCTCTCCCGACAATTCACCATGAAATGTGCTGTAAGGAAGATTGTTCGAATTCCTTCATATCTGAAGATTAACGACTGGAAGTTATCGCATAAAGTAAAGAAGCGTGTTTCCTGGGCCGAGCCAACCCCACCTTGTACTGTCACCCTTCTTACACACAACCCACAGATACATGTGTCATGTTTCGGTACTTTGATCTTCATGTGAGAAATGTTTTCTGCCTCTATTTTGACATGTTAAAATTCGGAACAAATACTTAACATTAGGGCATCGTGCTTGGTAGTCAATGTTTTTTGTTATTTTGGCATCTACCTCTGAAAGAAAAAAAGAGTCCTATGAGATCATGATATTACTAATTGATAGAAGAATTAGATTAGTTAATTAGCTGGAAGATAGTTCTAAGACAGGAAGTCGATAATTCTGAGGTGTGGGTGCCCGTAAACACTTTTGGCCCTGTGCTAGCTTGTCCTGTTTGAATCACCGATAGGCTTCATAGTTAGGCCATGTTGATTTGATTATATGGATGACACCCGTGTTCCCGTCCAACTCCTAACCATGGTTAGGGGTGGGGGGCTGGGGTGGTTTTGGTCCGGCAGGGTTCGTGAGGCATTTTCTGGCATGGGTTTAACAGGGCACCATGTGGGACAATAACTGACTGCCTGTATGGAGCACGTGTACCGACGTTGTGTGATATTTTATGCTGACCTTTGCGAATCCAAACTGCACCCAAAAACTGGCGCTCGTGATAGTACAACATCGGGGCGTATACCTGGTATGATATAATTAATAATCATATTAAGGGCAAATTGGGTGTGTTCTGACGTGATCTTCTTGAAATCAAAAATTGCCCGTTTAAACTGACGCTCGTGATAGTACAACATCGAGGCGTATACCTGATAGATATAATTAATGGGAATGATTATCTTTATATTTAGGGCAAATTGGGTGTGTTCTTACGTGATCTTTTTATAATTTAAGATTGTCAATCCAAACTACACCCTAGGACTGACGCTCGTGATAGTACAAAGTTTGGGCGTACTCCTGATAGAATATACTGGAAATAATCATAATCATCATTATATTTTGGGCAAACTGGGTGTGGGCGTGTTCTGTAAGTATATTCTTTATCCGTCGATGGAGGTTAAACATCCAGGTAATAAGATACGCCAAAAACAGTTACTCAAGCAAGTGGATACGATTTTGGAAACGGTCATTTTAATCAAGCAAAATCCGACCGTTTTCAAAATCATATCCATAGTTGCCTCTATCAGGCTTCTTTTTGTGGCAGGGGTTTAACAGGGCACCAGGTGGGACAATAACTGACTCAATAGTAAAACCACAGGTAATCCCAGGGTTTACGTGTAGCCAGTTTTCCAAGGCCGTTCAGAATAGAGTCTCCCATCACCATTTGATCCAGTACAGTGCCGTTTTCCTTGGCACGCATAAGGTATTTGTGACCGTGGGATTTTGATCCATATAGATATACCAAGGAGCTTTGAAAATATATGAATAATTATCTTCTGCCTAAAATGTGGTATGAGTAAAGAGACTCAGAAGCTATGAATAGATGTGGATACCAGGCTACAGGTACAAGGTATAGGTGCATGTCCACACCCGTACATATACAAGTTTTAGTAATTCTAACTTGTAGTCAACTTAGATATACTAACGCATAAGATCAGACTATGCAAAGGATTAAGTTACAAAGAAAAATATATATCTCTTTATTGTTTTAGAAGAAGGAGACTTAAACTACGTATACACACAGTAAACAAATATTAATTCTTCTCGACGAGTTCATAGTGAGTAAAATCAAACAAACTACACTAGGAAGTAAACTTATCATTATATAAAATACTAGTAGTAGATACTACATGTATATGCCGTTAAGGTGCTAATAAAACTTGTAATGTCTAACACTATAGTATTGAGATATACTCCAATTAACATCTACAATCTACTTCAATGAACACCTAGCAATCTAACTATGCATAGTAATACATGTGTGAAATTTTAGATTTTTTTCAACGACGCCATTTATAGCATCTGTAACAACGTTTGTGGGCGATAAATAAGTAAAATTCTTTCCTCAATAATGTTTATTACAATTAATAAAGTTAACGTAGTTTTGCTATTATAATTGATGATGATAATGACGGTGCCGATCCTTCGGGTGTGTGCCGTAGAGTTGCATATCCAGAAACGGAGGAGACGTCGGAGGTAGAATCGAAGGAATCGGAGATGGTGGTGGACCAGGTGACGGACTGACTGTCCCGGGGACGGTAGGACGGCGGCGGCCGGTGCGGTCGTGGGAAGGGCCGGGGGTGCTGTTGGGTCTTCAACGGAAGACCGTTCCGCATAGGCAAGTAGCGTCGTATTGGTCGTAGATAATACCGCCTTGGTCTGTAGTAGTAACTGTGGGATAAAAAAAACGTGTAGCAAATGAATCAGTTCTTAAAGTTCGAATTAGTCTGGACTGACATATAACAAAGAATTCATCTGATAAACTTACTAGTATTTCTTTGGCGCACATATATAGGGGCACAGACAGCATAACAGGGCGAAGAGTAGAGCAGCTAGCAACGCCGCTCCGACAATTATCCCCGCTAGGATACCGGGTTGAACTGAAACATAAAGCATGTACGTTTTCAATTATTAATTTCTTGACATGTGCAACATACATAATACATAACCAAAGCATCCCATGAAGAATATATCCTACTCCGCCCTTGGTGCTGAAAAGATATCAATTGATCTATCTGTTTTCGTTGAATAATTTCGGTTTTGTTGCATTTGTGATCTTGATAGATTTCACTTTGTATGTGCAATACCTGACTGTACTATTGACTGTACTATACTATAGGTATAGGAAACTGGTTATCAGTAGAAATATAAATGCTTTGATAAAAGACTAAGTGTACACTTCTATCTAACATACATCACTACATATCCTACTTCCTTCTTTTGTGAAAAACATATAGACTATTATCATAATATATCTAGTTCACCACCGCCTCATCAGTAAAGTTTTTACCTCAATGATATGTTATTTTGTGAAGTACTGATCATGATTGATTTTATTTAGAACTTACGAACGTTCCCTGGTGTAGTTGTTGGACAAAATTCATCCCTGCCACCAATATAGCACCTGCATGAAACAAAAGGACACGTATTATGTATTTACTGGTCCCTGCCCTGAACAAAACATTTTATTACGACGCTGTTCATGCAACACAGAAAAAATCATAATGCTGAGGTCACATTTCCAAACCTGGGCCCGGCCGGGCTGTTTCGATTAACGAAAAATCTTCAATTCACATCAATAATATACACAGATAGTTCCCATTATTAGCTTTCCACTTTTTTTGTGCTTTGTTGTCTTTTATATCATACTTTTCGTTCCATAAGACTGCCCGGCCGGGCCCCGCTTTGGAAATGTGACCCCAGCATAAAAGAACAAAAAAACTCACGTTGTCTTGAAGTCTATCCCAAGGGTGTTTTCGACGTTCAGGTCACTGGCTTCTCTAAGATAAGCCTCCAGATCAAACCCTTCATTGACGCTATCAGTCCGCAGATACACGGTGTAGTTCGCAACAACCCGGCCGTTGATGGTGGTGATGTCGTTGACTTCTACGCGCTGGACGTCGTCTCTATTCGGACTGTTCGAATGATATTGCTCCAGCTAACGATAAGTTTAAGAATGAATGCAAGAAGACCTTTAGTGTACATTTTTGACCCACATTTCACGATTATATACAATTGTCAATGTATATAGATTCATGTATAGATGCCTAGTATGCACAAGTACTTTGTCCTTTGTCTTCTTGGTAATTGTATAAATGTAGGTGGTGGTACGATTGGTTAGAGTTGGTTTATCGTAGGCTGTAAGCTTGATTCTTGGCATATACGAATAACATGAGGGTATGGACCCTTTCAAATTTTGACATGAAGAATATATATGTTTAACACATTTTGGTTTGTAAGGCATTTAGAACTGATATTCTTAATGTAGAGACATAACTTTTCCATTTATGACATACGAAGTGTCAATTATATTTTACAAAATATCTGTCATTTATAAGAGAGTTAACTTACCACTTCTTGGATTTGTGCTGTCGTATTTCTGTAGACCTCAGAACTTCTGTTTCTTAGCTGATCAGTCATTCTGACGTTGTTCATGACCACATAGAAGTTATGAGGAGCTGTTGTCGGAAAAAAACGTCGGACATGAAAAAATGTATTTGTGGTGAACAGTCTTTATTACCTTCGCCAAGAAGGTTATGTTTTCAGGGGCGTTCGTGTATGTGTGTGTTTGTGTGTGTGTGTGTCTGTAAACACGATAACTTGAGAAGGCCTTGATGGATTGTCTTGATACTTGGTAGGTGGGTAGGTCTTGATGAGACCTCAAAATGATTAGATTTTGGACCCCCTAGCGGCTTATTATGGTACTGCAGCTGAACTTCCGGTTTTGATATCTCATGATCTAGACATGCTATGGTGATGAAATTTAGATGGTAGGTAGCTCTTGTGCTGGGAAAGAAGTGACGTGAGTATAGGCCCCCTAGCGGCTTGCTCTGGAACTGCAGGGATAAATTCTTGAAAATATTCAAAAGGGGATAACTCAAGAACCGGTTGACGGATCGCTGTGATTTTTGGTATGTAGGTAGCTTATGTGATGCTCAATATAATGATGTGACAATTATGCAAATATGGATGTAATTTGCATAATTTATGGGGAAATTCTATAAATCAGCTGCATTCCATGATAGGACAATTGAAGCTTGTGACATTGGTAATTGACAACGAGAGAAACACAGGAAGATATTGATTATGTTAATAATGACTTAATTTGCATAATTAATGAGAAAATGTTATAATTATGTAATGATAACTGCCTGGAATTCCATACTTGTGGTATTTGAAAGTTAAATTGAGGTGAACATCATTAAACATAATTTATTCAAATCAGGACCTCATTTGCATAATTTATTACTACTATTAGGAAATGCTAGAATGCATTCTTTGTTAATATAAGACTGTCTTTTGGTTGAGATTATGATAAAATGATATAATTCATGAAAATTAGGTTCCTATTTCTTAAATCAGGGGGGAATAATCTAATCTAAACTTTGTCAGTCATAAAGATTAACATCATTTGGCGAAGGTATGAGATCGGGGAACTCTAGTTATTGAATACTACACAACAGGTCTGCTGGAAAACCTAAATCTCGTAAAACTTGACTCAAATTTAACGCAAATTAGTTTCGATTCTAAGAGAAAGGTAGGCGTGGCCTAGATAAGGCCAGAGTGCCAGAGTCCCGAACGCCAGTCGAACCTGGTCGGCTAGTGTTAGAGGACAAATTGGGAGGATCTAGGAAGGTCGTGAATGTCTGATAGCGGCTTTACTGTCAACAGATTGTCATCAACTGTAGGCAGCGTTCTGTGAGCCTAGACTTACCTGTACAGGTCACCCCGGTGTTGCATTCTAGTGTCTGCACAGCTTGTCCCACACAGTCCGTGCCACCAAGACCAGGAGCAGGGTTGGTGCAGGCTCGGGCCCGATTCCTCACGCCAACTCCACACGTCACGCTGCAGTCAGACCACGCGCCCCAGTTTGACCAACCGCCATTGACTAAAAATAGTACATGAAATGTTATGAAGGCATCTAATGCAAATTTAGGAGGGCAAAACTGGAAATATTAGGAATACTGCATATCTGTATCTCTGTATCTGTATGTTATTGGCATCTACTAATTCACATTAGCACATTTGTATTAGTATGTCCTTCTTTGGGCGTTTAAATCAACGCAGAACAAGCTCCAGGTAGGTTGACTCTGGGTGGTACCCCAATAATCAGCCCAGAATCCGTCCAAAAACGGTCACTTCCGTCACAAGTTTTGACACTTTTTCTCCATTAATGTCGATATACATTTCAATCTAGTATGTAAAGTGACTAGAATATTGACATTTTGGCCCAAATTGATGTTACATCCTTACAATCGCCATTTGGAGTGAACTCCAATCGCTGAAGATTTCCTCATACGCACCGCCAGGTGGTGTTCTAAACAAACTGATGGTAAAGATTTTTAGTTACCTGGACAGGACACTCCCACATTGCAAGGTTGTGTGTCTTGAACCGGTCCAACACAGTCCGCCCCACCGTTGGCCGGTGCAGGGTTGTTGCAACCCCGGTTCCGAGTCCTCACGCCAACTCCACAGGTCACGCCACAGCCGGACCATGGACCCCAGCTTGACCAACCGCCATTAACTACAGCTGATATAAAATGATCGAGTTTGATTTGACGGAAAATCAATCAGGCATTTATACATGTAAACATTCTATGTCGTTCAAAGCGTTGTAAGAAGGCACTTTAAAATGATCATTGGAAGGGGCGTCTAATTCTTGAGTCACAATTAAAAGCCTGGGTTAAACTTACCAGGACAGGGGTCCCCTGTGTCGCATTGTTGTGTCTCCTGAGTTGGTCCAGAACAGTCCACCCCGCCGTTAGCTGGTGGGGGATTCACGCAGGCTCGGTCCCGAGACCTCATTCCAAGTCCACAAGTCACGCTGCAACCGGACCATGGCCCCCAGGTTGCCCAGCCGCCATCAACTGCAACAAATACAAAACCGTTCACCAACTTTCCAACGGATGTGTCAGGGCTTGTGCCCGCTCAAACGGACTACGCAATAATAATAAAAAAATGGAAACTATGGAATTGTATCACCTTGACATGGCGTCCCCGTGGCGCATTGTTGTGTCTCCTGAGATAGTCCAACACAGTTTGCCCCACCAGTACCAGTGCAGGTTCGATCCCGAGTCCTCGTACCAACTCCACAAGTCACACTGCAGTCGGACCACGGGCCCCAGTTTGACCAACTGCTATCGACTATAAGAAAAGAAAATAGCTAAGTATGCGGGAAAAACCTCAAAGGTAAACGTTTTCTACGGGCCAGCTCCAAATGATCTTTTTTGTGTCACCCTATACTACTACAGGGGAAAATTTGGGAAATCATGACAAAAACTGACGTTAAGGAGTTTCCATACATGCACGTTCAGATACATATACCAAACGGACTGCTTTTAAGTGTTTCAAACGTATGCCCTAATCTGTACGGAATACACTTACCAGGACAGGTCACCCCAATGTTGCATTGCTCCGTCTCCTGACCTGATCCAACACAGTCCGCCCCACCGTTAGACGGTACGGGGTTGGTGCAGGTTCGGCTCCGAGACCTCGAACCAACTCCACACGTCACGCTGCAGTCAAACCATGGGCCCCAGTTTGACCAGCCGCCATTTACTGCAGCTGATACAAAAAGTTTGGATATCAATTTACCGAGCGTAAATGAGCGTATGCAGGTTTGTTAAGACCAGGGTTTAAAAGTGATTGATCACAAGGTCAAACAGCCGAATATGTAACAGGGGCTCAATATATCTCCAAATGGACTTTTCGATAGTGTTTGAAATAATTCAAGACACTAGCTTCTTTTGTTACAGAATAGACTTACGTGGACAGGTCACCCCCGTGTTGCATTGCTGTGTCTCCTGAGCTGCTCCAACACAGCTCGCTCCACCGTTCGCTGGTACAGGCTCGGTGCAGGTTCGGGTCCGCGTCCTCATGCCAACTCCACACGTCACACCGCAGCCGGACCATGGGTTCCAGTTTGTCCAGCCGCCATCAACTACATAGGAAAGAAAGAAGGTATTCTGTGACAAACTTCAATGAACCTTTGTTACATGTGTATGATATTGCAATTATTTCTAAGAATAACATTCATAAAATCTATCTACCGTACCATTACAAAATCAATACAATAGGATGTACCGAAAAAAAAATACAAAAGACGTAAGTTCTGCTGCAATACCAAGGTCAGCCAAGACATGTCCCACATTCGATCTTGACCTTTGTCTTCCCGAGACATAGCCAAATGTTAAATATCATCAGAATCCATAATGACCTTCTTAAGTTATGTTGAACACAAAATTGTGGGAACGCAGACAGACACACAAACAGACAAAAAACAAAACCTCCATTTTTTCTGAAAATACTCAACACCTACCAGGACAGGACACTCCAGTGTTGCATTGTTGTGCCTCCTGAGCTGGCCCAACACAGTCCGCCCCGCCGTTAGCTGGTACAGGCTGGGTGCAGGTTCGGGTCCGAGTTCCCGTCCCAAGTCCACACGTCACGCTGCAGCTTGGCCAAGGTCCCCAGTTTGACCAACCGCCGTCAACTACAGAGGACAAAAATCAAGATAGTGTAAAAAAAAATCAGAAAGGTGTCCTTCTTTAGTGAATCACTAGAACTATAGGAACTATAGGAATGTTGTTATCCATATCTTGCCTTCATCTTGAAAACATACTTCCTTCCGACCCACTCAACGTAAATGACGCCACATTATGTACTTTACTTCTTACAGGTAGCCCCAGCCTCCCTTACCCTACCAACTGCCGTATCTTTGATATTGTGTTTAACTATATCCACCACTCTGGAAGATTTGACCAATCTCAATAATGTTATGCTAGGTATTGGTGCGCCAGCCACTTTCATTTTATGTTAATGCTATACTTTATGTCATCTTTATGTTTACATTTGTATTATGATTTATGAGCAGCGGATTTACATAAGCACAACAAGTGCTTCCTATCCAATGCTCAAAAATCCATGTGAATAAAATAAAAAAATAAAAAAAAATAACTATAGGAACCCTTGCTTTGTATCTTTATGGACATGGACAAATGGAGGGGACATACGAATAATATGATTGCATTTACATGTACATGTAGCCTTCTGTGCAGGCCTCCGAGCGCATGCGCGTTTTAATACTGCGTTTTGTATAATTGACGGCGTTTCTGGCGATGTTGTAACGAACCTGCTATATAAGGTCAAACCCGCTGCTATGGCCAATTGTAAGATCCGCATGATCCTACATCGTTTTTAGGTAGAATGATCACGATATACACACGACTCACCTTGACATTGTACCCCAGTGTTGCACTGTTGTGCCTCCTGAGCCGATCCAACACAGTCCGCCCCACCGTTAGCCGGTACAGGATTGGTGCAGGTTCGGCTCCGAGACCTCGTACCAACTCCACACGTCACGCTGCAGTCGGACCACGGACCCCAGTTTGACCAGCCCCCATCGACTACAACTAACACAAAGCGTTTGTATATCAAATTATCGGCAATAAAACGTGCATATGAAAGTAGTAAAGGTTGTCAGGTTGATGACTTCTTGATTGAATACTAAAGTTCTTTACTCGCAACCACTTGTTAAACGTTCCGATGATCGTCAAAATTGCCCTGATGAAGATGACAGACGGTCATAGAAACGTCGGTTCTTGTTAAACAAGTGGTTGTGTGTAAGGAACTTTGCTATAAGGTTCAACCAATGATCAGTTGGTCATTCAAATGAACAGCCGTTTCACTGGAGAATAGATTTACCAGGACAGGTCACTCCTGTGTCGCATTGCTGTGTCTGCTGAGCTTGATCGGCACAGTCCGCCCCGCCGTTAGCTGGTGGGGGTTGGTGCAGGTTCGGGTCCGAGTCCTTGAACCGAGTCCACAGGTCCTACTGCATCCAGACCATGAGCCCCAGTTTGACCAATTACCGTCAACTACATGAAGAAGATGGAAGTACAGGTTCTTTAAGACAAATTGAAATGTGCCGTTTTAAGAGGGCCATGCTAGATACCTAGTACATCTCGGTTCTATTTTTGCTTAGGTTAAACAGGCAAAAATGGAAGGGCCTAACGAATGATAGAATTTCGTATATAATCTAATATAATCTGCTTTTTTCAGGAATGCTTGGCACTAGATGTGGATTTCTATTAACTTTCGTAAATTTCTACAAGAGGGTGCATTGAAGATACTGGTGCAACAAAATAACCGCTAATAACCTGGACATGACACCCCCGTGTTGCATTGTTGTGTTTCTTGAGTCTGTCCAAAACAGTCCGCCCCACCGTTAGCTGGTGCAGGGTTGGTGCACGTTCGGGTCCGAGTCTCCGTACCAAACCCACACGTCACGCTGCAGCCGGACCATGTACCCCAGTTCGACCAAACGCCATCAACTAATATGAAATAGATTACTCAGCCTAATGATCCAGTCTAACCTCCGATGAGACGTAGTGCATGTTGACAGTATGATAGCAATGGCAAGCAGCCCCCTATCTCAGTCTTCTCTCCAGACTAGTCGGCGTGCAGGCCTACTAGTAAGCGATTCAACCACCATCTACTGCGGCCATATTCGACACCTTCAGGAATACGCAGCTCCTGTTTAACGTTTGAAATGCCTTCTTCAATAACAAGCACATCGGCAGACAGAAAGCGTACAAAATCTGGTATTCAGGATTATTAGTTCGGAACTACACTGCCAATCATCAGGATTGTCTTGTAAAACTACTGTCACCTGTAACCCACAGAACTTTGCCAGCAAAAGGCAAGGCAGTTACGGCGCTTCTTCTCCTGGCTGTCACAGGCTCTAGAACATCAGCACGGCAGCTGAACTCATAACACTACAAGCAAGCCAGTGGCCGGGGAACAAAACGCTACGTCTCAAGCGCGATGGCAAAGCTTTCTTTATAATCTCAAACGGAACGTTGGAAAACGTGGGGACGTCTCTTTTAATTTGACATCACAGACTTACCAGGACAGATCACCCCTGTGTTGCATTGTTCTGTGTCCCGAGCTTGTCCTTCACAGTCCGCCCCACCGTTAGATGGTGGAGGGTTGTTGCAGATTCTGTCCCGAGACCTCGTGCCAACTCCACACGTCACACTGCAGCCGGACCATGGGCCCCAGTTTGACCAACCACCATCAACTACAACCGGCATAATTAAAGATTTGGATCTAGCTACGGGCATATGGCAAGTTTGACGACGTTAAGGTGGGCATAGAAAGCTTCTTGAGCACCGGCCTTTCGTATGGACCAGAGCAGACGTTGTTAATTGATCACAGACGTTCCTCAACCTTGATGGATATTACTTCAATAGCAATACCACCCACAAAATATTTAGCTCATTCTGAACCCACTGATTTTACGAAGTCGGCTCACCGGAACAGGGCACCCCCGTGTCGCATTGTTGTGTCTGCTGAGTTTGTCCAACACAGTCCGCCCCGCCGTTAGCCGGTGCAGGCTGGGTGCAGGTTCGGCTCCGAGACCTTGTACCAATTCCACACGTCCTGCTGCATCCGGACCATGAGCCCCAGTTTGACCAACCACCATCGACTATAACTCACACAAAAACGGGATTCAAATTTGAGTTCTATATAAGAATACATATCTCGACGCTCGGGCGGCTTTTTGTATCGTTGTGCCAGTTACCGAGTATTCGGATGAACAGTGTCTGAACGACTCTTTGTCAAAACCTCAATAAACAGTACCTGGGGCGGATTGGAAAGATCTAGATCTAATTTGACCTATTGTAGTCGAGTTTGATAGCTTTCAAAGGGCCCTTTATAAGATAGACATACCTGGACAGGACACGCCTGTATTGCATTGCTGCGTCTCTTGAGCTTGTCCAACACAGTCCATCCCACCGTTAGCTGGTGGGGGATTGGTGCAGGTTCGGGTCCGACTACTCGTACCGATTTCACACGTCACGCTGCAGCCAGACCACGGGCTCCAGTTCAACCAACCGCCATCAACTAAACTCACGATCACACAAAATAGATTACACGACGTCTAACCTTTGGTTAAGGCACAGATCAGCATGCTAACAGTAAGGTAGCAGAATGGAAAGCAGGCGCCTGTCTCTTCTCTCCAGACTAGTAGACGTGCAGGCCTACCGGTAAGCGATTCAACCACCATCTAATCCGACGGCTTTTGGAATACGTTGTTCCTGTTGGGAATACTACCCTCAACAGCAAGGACGTCAGCAGACTGGAAAGCGTAGAAAAGCTCGTATGCAGCATTATCCTTGGTCGGAACTACACTGCCAATCTTGATCAGAATGTCTTGCAACAATATTGAAGCCACAGTCGCTTGCAAACCGTAGACATGACTTAAGCTACAAGTTTGTCGGCAAAGCAAAGCAGTCGCCACGCTTTTGCTCCTGGCTGTCACAGACTCCAAACCATCAATACGGTAGCTGAATTTATTAGGCTACCAGCAAGCCAGGCAGAGAAACAACGTTAACCGCGATACCAGCGATGGCAAAGCTTCTTGTCCAACTTTCTATCCAATTGGACAGTAGCGTGGTCGGCTTAAAGGGTCATTTGGCAGGCTTCTAACCTCATTGCTTTCACAGAGAAGACTTACCAGGACAGGGCACCCCCGTGTTGCATTGTTGTGTCTGCTGAGTTTGTCCAACACAGTCCGCCCCGCCGTTAGCTGGTGCAGGGTTGGTGCAGGTTCGGGTCCGAGACCTCGAACCAACTCCACACGTGCTACTGCAGCCGGACCATGGGGCCCAGTTTGACCAACCTCCATTAACTACACGCAAAACAAAAGGTTGGTACTCTGGATTATCACAAACTGAAGATTGTGCCTTTCTACAAAATTGAAGACGCTGATTTAATTACAGAAACGATCTGAAAATTATTTTGATGTAGAATGGGCCCAGTATGAAACAGAAACCTCAATGGCCACTAGCTAGAGTGAACCACAAAGATCCCGGTCGAGTTAAATGCTCTGGAGATTTTGCACACCACACACACACACACACACACACACACACACACACATGAAACAGACCTACCCGGCACAGGTGGACAGGTCACCCCCGTGTTACATTGTTCTGTCTCCCGACCAGGTTCCATACAGTCCGCCCCACCGTCAGTTGGAGGAGGGTTGTTACAGAGTCTGTCCCTAGACCTCGAACCAACTCCACACGTCACACTGCAGCCGGACCACGGACCCCAGTTTGACCAACCACCATCAACTACATGGAAAAACAATGAAGGTACTCTGAGACAAACGAAAGATGGTTCTTTTTAAAAGGACTGCCTAGGGGACTGCCTAGGGCTTATGGACACTCCTCTGGCCAGTGGATACTGTCTTGCCACCGTAGTATCTGCTTTGAGATCAGGTACGAGTACGTGTATGATTTTGAAATTATTTTATTTAGTATAAACAGGCTGAATGCTGGGCACTATTAATTCATAAGGTAATACCCTTAGACTACACGTGAAGTTGCAGATTGTAGTTATCAATTATCGTACTGCTTGAGGACACATCGGAGACTCAGATACAACAATGTGGCTAAGACTTACCAGGACAGGTCACCCCTGTGTCGCATTGTTCTGTTTCCTGAGCTTGTCTATCGCAGTCCGCCCCACCGTTAGCCGGTACAGGATTGGTGCAGGTTCGGGTCCGAGTCCTCGTGCCAAGTCCACAAGTCTCGCTGCAGTCGGACCATGGGGCCCAGTTTGACCAACCGCCATGAACTACATGGAAAACAAAATACAGGTACACATGCATACTAAAGGTTGTGCCTTCTTAGGCAACTACCTGTAGTATAACTAAGGCGCACCTGATTAGCGCCTTGGTATTAAGATTTATCTTAGAGGGAAGCCACGAAAACTGTGATTACATAAACGACTACACAAATACAACACACACACACACGCACGCACGCACACACACACACACACACACACACACACACACACACACACACACACACACACACACACACACACACACACACACACACACACACAAATATCATACATAGAATAAACGTACCTGGACAGGTTACCCCTGTGTTACATTGTTCTGTCTCCTGAGCCTGTCCAACACAGTCCGCCCCACCGTTAGCCGGTGCAGGCTGGGTGCAGGTTCGGGTCCGAGTCCGCACACCAACTTCACACGTCACGCTGCAGTCGGACCACGGGCTCCAGTTTGACCAACTACCATTAACTACATGAAAAATCAAGGGAGAAATTACATTATCAAACATTAGAATGACAAAATTCCACAGATAGAATTTAAAAATCGTGAATCAAGTATCATATTACAAGTCCACCATATTACATAAAACCATAATACCACATATCTAGCATTACCAGATGTTACTGATATCTTAGAGGACGATTCTTTCGGGACTCAGGTATAACAATTTGGCTAAGACCTACCTGGACAGGGTACCCCCGTGTTGCATTGTTGTGTCTGTTGAGCTGCTCCAACACAGTCCGACCCACCGTTGGCCGGTACAGGCTGGGTGCAGGTTCGGGTCCGAGACCTCGTACCATCGCCACACGTCCCACTGCAGTCGGACCATGGTCCCCAGTTTGACCAGCCGCCAGGAACTACATATACATGTAAGACAAGCACACACTCTAGATACTTTAAAAGAAGCTGAAGACAGTGCATTTTAACTGAACTGCTTGAATTGAAGTGGCTCAGATCGTTGCGTTTGTATCTACAAACCAGGCCAAAGGTAAGACACGAATAGTATGACTACATGGGTGATCTGACGGTTATTTTCAGCATGATATGCATTTTAAAGTATATCTAACTCTGGCATAGAACGTACTTGGCACAGGTGGGCAGGTCACCCCCGTGTTGCATAGTTCTGTCTCCCGACCAGGTTCCATACAGTCCGCCCCACCGTCAGTTGGAGGGGGGTTGTTACAGAGTCTGTCCCGAGACCTCGAACCAACTCCACACGTCACACTACAGCCGGACCACGGACCCCAGTTTGACCAACTACCATCAACTACATGAAAAAAAAAAAACAACGGCACTCTGAGCCAACTGAATTCGGTTCATTTTTCTATCCTTCTAAACTTCAACGAGGACATAAGGACGAGTCTGGCAGATGGTATGAGTACAATCAATGTACATGTATTATCTTCAGGTACATTTATGATCATGAAACAATTGTCAGCTAGAATAAACAGATCACTATCACTTTATAAGATAATACTCTAGACACTAGACATTTGACTACGCATGAAATTGTGAATTGTAGTTATCAATTATCTCAGAGGTCACTTTGGAGACTCGGGTATAACAATATGGCTAAGTCCTACCTGGACAGGGCACCGCCGGGTTGCATGGTTGTGTCTGCTGACTTGGTCCGACACAGTCCGCCCCACCGTTAGCTGGTGCAGGCTCGGTGCAGGTACGGTTTCGAGTCCTCGTACGAAGTTCACACGTGCAGTTGGACCACGGGCCCCAGTTCGACCATCCGCCATTAACTACATAGAAGACAAAAGTTAGGTCCTCTAAAACAAACTGAAGATCGTGTTTTTTACTGAGCTACTTGAATTGAAGCGACTCTAACTGTACTGGTGATGTGGTAAGTGTAGACAGGGTTATTGGACAAAGGCTAGAACTTACCCGGACAGGGCACCGCCGGGGTGCATGGTTGTGTCTGCTGACTTGGTCCAAAACAGTCCGCCCCACCGTTAGCTGGTGCAGGCTCGGTGCAGGTACGGTTTCGAGTCCTCGTACGAAGTTCACACGTGCAGTTGGACCACGGGCCCCAGTTCGACCATCCGCCATTAACTACATAGAAGACAAAAGTTAGGTCCTCTAAAACAAACTGAAGATCGTGTTTTTTACTGAGCTACTTGAATTGAAGCGACTCTGACTGGTGATGTGGTATTGTAGTTGCAGTAGTGTAGACTGGTTTATTGGACAAAGGATAGAACTTACCGGGACAAGGCACCGCCGGGGTGCATGGTTGTGTCTGCTGGCTTGGTCCGACACAGTCCGCCCCACCGTTAGCTGGTGGAGGGTTGGTGCAGGTTCGATTTCGAGTCCTCATAAGAAGTCCACACGTGCAGTTGGACCACGGGCCCCAGTTCGACCATCCGCCATTAACTACATGCAGCCAACAAAATTAGATTGTATCCAATTTCACCAATATTTTAACGGTCAAACGGGGGCGCTCATTGCTACTTTGATGGGCATTCATAGGTCTTTTTTACAGCTAGGTTAGACGCAAATTATGCCAAATATATCATAGTAATAAAGTTCATCTTACCAATGGGTGCAGATGTCGTAGCCCTAGATAGACGAGCTGTTGTTTTATCAGGAGGAACGGACGCCGTTTTCTTGTCAGTTGTGGTTGAAGCTGTCGGAGTTGTAGAAAGCTAAGTTTTGTTAACTGTACCAGGAGAATCACTCCAGAAAACAGTGCAGGCTATGTCGCAAATAAACAGTGTAAAACAGCACTTTTAGCATGACGGAATCCTGACAGTTGTGAAGAGAAGGAAACTAAAGTGGCATGGTCACATAATGAGGTCACATGGGCTATGAAAGGCAATTCTTCAAAGAACAGCAAAAGGAACAAGAAAGACAGGGAGGCAGGCAGAAAAAAAATTGACAACATCCAAGAGTAGACAGAAAAAAAAACTTTGCGGAAACCCTAACCTTAGCAAACAAAAAAACATACAGAGCTACAACGACCCTGGCCTGAGTTTAAGGGACCCAGGAGGTAATAGGTACTCAAGAGGTTTATTGTATGTGCCCTATCTGTAATTATTGTATTTTCTATATATGTTGTACTTGCCTGTATGTAAGTAAATATGATTGCATTATCAGTACCAAGGAGAGGTATTGACTTACCGGTAGTTACGATGTCAGTGGGCGTGAGCTCTTGTCTGGACAGTAGTTGTTGACTCTGTGTTTTAGGTTGTATGAAAAAAAACATCAATAGCAATCGGCAGGAGGACAAGAAAGTGTAGGGAGACAAGGTCAAATTTGAAAGTGTCCGTTGTTTCCACTTGCTAATTGGTGCAGTGAGTGCAACCTAGATTCATTTAATGTAGTATCTGTGAGGAAGCTGTTGTCTATGGAACAGTGGGACGACTTAATGCTATGAGTTCGATAGTCTTGAGGGTAGCTAACATTAAGTTAGACACACTGGTGGGGAAACTACACTTAACTATATGATCATGAAAACAGTGATTGTGCCAGCAGTGGGCCGTGATTGTGCCAGCAGTGGGGGATGCTAGTTCCGTGGTTGGGACAGCAGTGAGGGATGCTAACTATGTGATTGTGACAGCAGTGGGGGATGCTAATTCCGTGATTGTGACAGCAGTGAGAGATGCTAATTATGTGATTGTGACAGCATTGGGGGATGCTAATTCCGTGATTGTGACAGCAGTGGGGGATGCTAATTCCGTGATTGTGACAGCAGTGGGGGATGCTAATTCCGTGATTGTGACAGCAGTGGGGGTTATTGTGGCAGAGGCGAGGGATGGTAATTCCGTGATTGTGCCAGCAGTGGGCCGTGATTGTGCCAGCAGTGGACCGTGATTGTGACAGCAGTGGGGGATGCTAATTCCGTGATTGTGGTAGAGGCGAGGGATGGTAATCCCGTGATTTTGCCAGCAGTGGGCCGTGATTGTGCCAGCAGTGGGGGAAGCTAATTCCGTGATCGTTACAACAATGCTTATGGAGTAATCTTGATTGCAGTGAGGAAGCTGCTACCACGATAGCAGTGACGCTTGTGGGTAGAGGAATAAATGGTACCGGGTGTCTTGGTAGTAGGCATAGTTGGGGCTATCCGGGTGGATGTCTGGAGAGCGGTGGATGAGGCTGTTGTCAGTGCGGTAATGAGAGGAGACGTTGTCCTGGCAGGAGATTGTGAGGCTTTCGTCTTACCAGTTATGGGAAGAGCTGAAGTTGAAATGTTTGGTAAGCCAGGTATTGTCCTTGTGACAATTGGGGCACTTGTCTTGCCAAACGTGAGAGACGTTGCCTGGAATGTTGTACTAGAAGCTTTTTTCTGGACGGTAGAAGATTGGGCTTGAAATGTAGGTTGAGTAGAAAACAACGTCCTGTTAGCAGTCCCGGAAAAAGCTGTTGTCTGCACAGTAATACGAGATGTATTAGAAGTGGGTTGAATCTTGGTAGCAGGCACAGATGGGTCCATTCGGGTGGATGTTGTCTGGACTGTATTGATAGGAGACGTTGTCCTAGCAGGTGATTGTGAAGGTTTTGTCATAACAGTTATGGGAGAAACTGAAGTTGAAATATTTGTTAAGCCAGGCACTGCCCTTGTGACGGTTAAGGCACTTGTATTGCCAAAAGGGAGAGACGTTGACTGGAATTCAGGAGTAGAATCTCTTTTCGAAACTGTAGAAGTTAGGGCTTGAAATGTAGGTTGAGTAGAAAACAACGTTCTATTAGCAGTCCCGGAGAAAGCTGTTGTCTTCACAGTAATACGAGATGTATTAGAAGTGGATCGAATCCTGGTAGTAGACACAGTGGGGTTCATTCGAGTGGATGTTGTCTGGAGAGCAGTGGATTGGGCTGTTGTCTGCACTGTATTTATAGGAGCTGTTGTCCTAACTGGCGATTGTGAGGCTTTCGTTTTCATAGTTATGGGAAGAGCTGAAGTTGAAATATTTGTTAAGCCAGGCACTGCCCTTGTGACGGTTAAGGCACTTGTATTGCGAAAAGTGGGAGACGTTCTCTCGAATTTAGGAGTAGAAACTGTACTCCGGACGGTAGACGTTTGGGCTTGTGTTGTAGCTTGAGTAGAAAACAACGTTCTATTAGCAGTCCCTGGAGCCGTTGTCTCCATAGTGGGTTGAGTCATCGTTCGAACGGAGATTGTAGGGGCTGAAGTTGTCAAAGCTGATGTTTTGGGAGAGAAGGACTGACCTGTTGTTTTAACAGAAGTTTGCATAGGTGATGTCTTGGTGTAGATGGGGATAGTTGTTGTCTTGCTGGAGGTGGAAAAAGCCGGTGTTCTGATGGAGGATAGATTAACCTTGGGCGTAGTGGGCAGTGTTGTGGCAACAGGGGTTGGCGGAGTGGCAGTTTTAACGGAAGAGAGTAGAACCGATGTCTTGGTGGAGGTGGGTGAGGCTGTTGATTTAACAGATTCCTGCGTAGTTGTTACTTTAATGGAGGTTGTTGGAGCAGTGCTGGAAAGAACTGTTCTCTCTATGGTTGTAGCTGTTAGATTATCAGTGGATTGACGTCGAGATGTCTTTAGAAATGTTGTTGAAGGCGCAGTTGTGTTAACTGTTGTAGGGACAAGTTGTGTTTTATAATTATGAACTTGCACCACAGAAAATTGATATTGAGCTGAGCAATTTGGCAAAGTTGTCATATGTGTAGTTCTAAAAGTAATTAAAACTAGATATCGGAGATCTCATGTCTTCGTCAGAGGTACATCGTTCTAGAGAAATTAACATGCGTATTCTTCACTCTTTTTAATAAATCAATTTGGTCTAAAGAACAAAAGAACTATTTTTATGGTACAGAACACCCTGAAACGGTTTGCCACAGATTATACAGATGCGTCGTCACCCGTGTTAGCCCCCCCCTACGTTATTTGAGTTTGGACTGTTACTGGAAAAAAAACGTTCAAGAAATTCTTACTGTGTTAACATGTTGAAAGTGTCACGACAGCGCCGTAAAATATAATAAGAGAAGATGTTATAAAGGAAAGAATCAGAACAGGGTGACTACTGCTGTTTTGTTAATTTGTCTTTATGACAAATAGAAGACTTGTTTCTTGTGTTCTTTGTGTCCTAACATTTGTACTTCTACAGTTAGTATATTCCAAATCTAGGCATCTCGTTTTTCGGCCCTTCGTGTTTTTATTGCGCGCTTGCCTTAGATTTAAGGTAATTAGATTTAAGGTCTCCAGTGGACGTCATCCATAGCAATTACTTGGTGTGGCCGTAGAAAATAACCTGACATATGTCCAACCTATCCTCCCCCTACTGAAGTTATAGTACAATCCCTCAATGTAACGTCATTTGATCCCATCCCATTATGGGGTTCCCCGCTATATCCAGCTGTCGGCTGTCTCCAAGCAGATGTAGTGGGGGGATTTCTAAAACACAAAAGGTCCTATTACGGGGACATAACGACCTCCACGACTCTCATCTTTGAACTCAATCTTGGAGACCACCACAGTAACATGCCTATCAAATTTCATTAACTTCCATCCACACATACAAAAGTTATCCTGCTCACAAGAAAAATTAACAAAATGCCCCCTGTAGTCACAACGAAACCCCCCACGAAGCTCAGTAACGAACTTAACCTTGGTCCCGACAATAGTAAGCACCACACCAAGAATTAATCAACATTTTACAAATACTTGAGTTATCTTGCTAACAAGCCACAAACACAAAAGGTGCACTAACGTGACGCACGGACCCCCCACGAAGCCAAAACTTGTACTTGACTTTGACCTTAACAGCGGTAATCTGCCTGCCAAAAATCATGGACGTCGAATCATGCCTTCCAGAGTTATATCGCAAAATCCGCAGTTCCCCACACTCCGGCGAGACAATTTCATAGTCCTTCTGACGAAGACAAATATCAAAGCATAACCATGAGGAAAACTATGTTAAGAGTAAATGTACACTTACCAGTGGTTACATTTGTCGTTTTGGGTGTGGTTTCTAGAGCTGTTGTGTTGACAGCAGTCCTTTGCGTTCTTGTCGTCATTGTAGTAGATGAACCTGTATTTGGAATTGAAGAAACTTTTGTCATCATCACCAGTTTCTAGGATTTTTATTTGCATAATGATGGTAATAGAAGATGTAGAACTTGCATTTATTGGTGATGTGGCAACCTATGTGTAGGCTAAAACCATGGTAGAAGAAGACGAAGACATGGCTCTTGAGATGGCTGTTTCTTCAACAGTGATGCTGCATCAATCAGTGCCGGTGGTGGAAGCTAATACCGCTACAGCAGTGGCGAAAGCTGTTTTCAACTGCTGTGGCAAGTGATTTGATTAATGTTCAATGGTGGTAGCTGTGAATTCTAATGCTCTAAAAGTTGTGGTGAATCTTATCCTGACAGCCGTGGTGTAAAGCTATACCTTAACAATAGGGTGGGAGTGGGAGCCTCACGCGGAGTGAACCAGTGTTTTGCCTTGCTTTTAGAGGCAATCATTGTCTTACCAGTCATTAGAGGTGTATTGATGCTAGTTACTGGGGTTGATACTTGAAAAGGTGATGTTAGGGCTGTTGTCTGGACGTTAGTAGGAGGAGTTGTTGACTTATTGGTTGATGGTGGAGCTCTTGTCTCCAAAGAAGTGTGCGGGACTGCTGTCTTGTTGGATGTGGGTTGGCCTATGGTTTGGTTAGTAGTGGGAGGGGTTGTTGTCTGAGAGGAGGCGGACGGGCCTGTATTCTGGATGGTAGTCCGTGTGACTGCTGTTGTTCTATTGGCGATTGTTCGTGTTTTTGTCTCAACAGGAGTCATTGTTTGAACAGAGATTGTAGGAACTGAAGTTTTAACGGAAGTGGCTGAAGCTGTTGTTTTGGTGGAAACGGGCGGAACTGCAGTTTGCAGAGTTGATGTCTTGGTGAAGGTAGGAATGGCTGTTGTCTTGATGGAGGTGGACAGGGCCGCTGTTCTGATGGAGGATGAAATAGACTTGATGGTGCTGGATGGAGGTGTTGTCTCAAAAGGTTTGGGCGGAGTGGCAGTTTTAACGGAAGAGAATTGAACCGATGTCTTGATGGAGGAGGCTGAGGATGTTGATTTAACATACTCCTGTGTAGTCATTGCTTTAGTGGAAGTTGTCTGGTTGTTATTGGGAGCAGTTGTTGACTTATTGGTAGATGGTCGGACTGTCTCCAAAGTAGTAAGTGGGGTTGCTGTCTTGTTGGATGTAGGTTGGACTGCTGTTTGGTAAGAAGTGGAAGTAGATGTTGTCTGGATAGAGGAGGGCGGACCTGTAGTCTGGATGGTAGTGGTAGAGGCTGTTGTCGCTTCGGTAGTGGGAGGGGCTGTTTTTGGTTTCGTAGTGGTTGTGGCTGTTGTCTCCATAGTTGTATTCGGGGCTGTTCTATCCGCCGTAATTGATGGGCTTGTTGCCCCCTTGGTAGTGGAAAGGGCTCTTGTCTGGAAAGCAGTGGAGTGGTCTATGGTTTTGTTGGTCGTGGGAGAGTCAGTTGTTTCCATGTGAGTGTCTGTTGTTTTAAAGGTAAAGACAGGAGTCTTTGTCCTGACTGGAGATTGTGAGATGTTCGTCTTGCCAGTTATGGGAGAAGCTGAAGTTGTAGTGTTAGTCTTGCCAGCTGTTGCCTTTATTGAAGTTAGGGCACTTGCCATGGTAGACGTGAGAAACGTCGCTTGGAATTTAGTGGTAGAAGCTGTATTCCGGACGCGGGTAGCTTGCGTAGAAAACAATGTTCTATTCGTTGTCCTAGGGATGGATGTTGTTTCCAAAATCACATGAGATGTAGTAGATGTTGTAGAAGCCGAAGAGGTTGTATTAATCGCAGCAGGAAGAGATGGAGTTTTCATGGTAGTTAGTGGTATTTCACTTGTTGGGAGAGCCGACGTCTCGTCAGAAGGGGTGAAAGTTGTCCCCACAGATGGAGTTCTAGCTGTTGTCCGATTGGTGATTGTCAGAGTCTTTGTCTCTACAGACGTGGGTTGAGTCATTGTTTGAACGGAAGTTTTAACAGAAATGGGTAAAGCTGTTGTTTTGGTGGAAATCGGTAGAGCTGATGTTTTAATAGATGTTTGTAGAGGTGATGTCCTGGTGAATGTGGGAATACCTGTTGTGTTGATGGAGGTGAACATAGCTGCTGTTCTGTTGGAGGATGGAATAGACTTGATGGTAGTGGGTAGTGTTGTCTCAACAGGGGTAGGCGGAGTGGCAGTTTTAACGGAAGAGACTAGAACCGATGTCTTGATGGGGGTGGATAGAGCTGTTGATTTGACAGATTTTTTAGTAGTCGTTGCTCTCATGGTCGTTGATAAAGTTTTTGTTTTCACGTTGGTGGAACGAACTGTTGTATTAAAAGACATTTGTAAAGATGTCGTTTTAATATAGGTAAACAGGGCTGTTGTTTTCTCAGAGCTGGGGAGGGGTGTTTTGTTGGAAATGGGCTGACCTGTTGTTTTAACAGACGGTTTCAGGGGTGATGTATTGGTGTAGGTGGGAATTACTGTTGTCTTGTTGGAGGTCAACAGAGCCGTTGATCTGATGGATGACAAATTCACCATAGAGGTAGTGGGTAGTGTTGTCTCAACAGGGGTAGGCGGAGTGGCAGTTTTAACGGAAGAGAGTAGAACCGATGTATTGTTCGAGGTGGATAAGGCTGTTGACTTATTAGATTCCTGTGTAGTCGTTACATTAGTGGAGGCCGTTGAAGCTACTGTTTTCATGGCAGTGGAAAGAAGTGTTGTATTAATAGAGATTGGTAAAGATGTCGTTTTAATGCTGTAGGTGAACGGAATGGTTGTTTTCCCAGAGATGGGTAGGGGTGTTCTTTTACCAGTTGTGGGTGAAGCTGCTGTTTTAATGGGAGTAGTTGGTGTTGATGATTTGATGGAGGAGAGCAGAGCTGTCGTTTCGGTAGATGTGGTAGGAGCTGTTGTTTTGATAGAGGTGGGCAAAGCTGTTGTTTTAGCAGAACTTGATCGATCTGTTGATTCCATTGAGAAGGGTGGAGTTGTTGTTCTCGCAGACGTGAGTGAATCTGTTGTTTTAGAAGTGCCTGTTCTGTAGGTGGTACTAAGAGGGGCTGTTGTCTCAATGGTAGTGAGAATAGGAGATAATGTTTTGACTTCAGTAGGTCCAACGTTAGTTGTCTGAACAACTGACGGTGATTCTGTTGTGCCAGTAGTACCAAAAGAGGCAGCTGTCTCGATTGAAGTAGGAGGAAATGTCGTCTTGATTGAAGTAGGGACTGTTTGTATATCGGCAGTGGTGACAACAGCTGTATTTGGAACATTTGTTGCTTCGACACTTGTAGAAGTTGTTTTTGCTGTAGTTTTAGGAACACTCACCGTCTTAAGAGTACTGGAAAGAGTTGCTGTTCTTTTTATGGGTAGTTGGCAACTTAGCAGTGGGTTGACGAGATGTGGTTTCAATTGTAGTTGAAGGGGTAGTTGTTTTAATTGCTGTATAGATAGTATGTTTTTATGATAATCATGTTGTACCGAGGAAAATAATAGTAAGATGAGCTGTTCAATGGAAATGTTTGTCAAAGCTATCACGCACGTAATTCCATAAACATGTATTAACGTACGCCAGAAAAGTTACTCAAACAAATGGATAAAGAAAATGACGTTGTAAGGCTAGTAGTGTTACACTTACCAGTGGTTACGTTTGCTGTAGACTTGATCGTAGTTGATAGAACTGTGGTGTTCGCAGTGGTTGTTGGTGCTGTCGTCTGAATAGCAGTTGATGCACCTGTGATTGAAATGACAGAAAAATACGTCATCGACAGTAGTCTCTGGAGTTGTTATTTCAACTGTTATTATATAATAATAACTGCACTTTGGTGGTAGAAGTCAGTGTCACTACAGCCGTGGTGAAAGCTGTTTTGTTTTCAACAGTTGAGTGACTAGAGTGACTGAGTAACAGTGATAGTGACGTGTGGATTTTAATGCTGAGAAAGTAGCGGTGAATGCTCAAACAACTCAAACAACAGCAGTGGTGAGAAGCTATACCTAAACAATAAGGTGGGAGTCTCTGTGGTGGTGAACTAATTTTCTGCCTAGCCTGTGGAGGCAGCTGATGTCTTACCAGTGGATAGAAGTGTGTTGATGGTAGTAAACGGGGTTGTTACTTCAATCGTGGGGACTGCTGTTGTTCGTATGGTAGTTGGGAGAGCTGCTGTCTGAATGCTAGTGGATGGGACTGTTGCATTGGCAGCAGTCCGAGTGTAAGTTTGAAACGTAGAGGGACGCAGAGCTGATGTCTGAATGGTAGGATGTGAAGCTGTTGATTGGGTAGTGGTGAGAGAAGCTTTTTTCCCAATCGTAGTTGGGCCTGTTGGCGAGATGGTAGTCGAAGGAGCTGTCCTCTTTATTGTAGTGGATGGGACTGTCGTTAGGACGTCAGTGTGTTGAGATGTCTCGAAGGTTGCAAATGGGACTGTTGTTTTTGGGGAAGTGGTGTAGTTGGTGGAAGTAGTGAGTGGGGCTGATTTTTGGATAGTAGTTGGAGGGGTTGTGGTTTTTGTGACATTGACAGGCGCTGTTGTTTGAATAGTAGTGGGAGGGGCTGCTGTAAGCGTAGAAGGGGAGGGTGTGGTTTGGATAGACGTGGGGGTGACTGTTGTTTCAACGCTGGTAAGACGGCCTGTTGTTTTGATAGTAGTAGGAGATGCTTTTGTTTGGGTATTTGGAATGGTTGTGTTTTGAAAGGTAGTGGGAGGGACTGTTTGAATATTGGTAGAATTTGTTGTTTCTCTGGTAGTAGAAGGGCCTGTGTCTTTAATAGTACTGAGAAGGACCGCCATTTGGTCAGTAGTTGATGTTGATGTAGATGTAGTAGTAGGAGCGACTGTTGTTTGGATAGTAGTGGTAGGGGCTGTCGTTTGGATAGTATTAGGTAGGGCTGTTTCCTGAATAGTAGTAGCAGGAGTTGTGATTTTGATAGTGGTGGGAGGGCCTGTTGTTTTGATATTAGTAGGGGATGCTGTAATTTGGATAGTAGTGAGTGGGGCTGCTGTAAGGGCAGAAGTTGGCGAGGCTGTTGTTTGGATAGGCATGGTAGAGGCTGTTGATTGGATAGACGTGGGAGGGGCTGTTGTTTGAATTAAAGTAGGCGAGGCTGTTGTTTCTATGCTTGTAGTAAGAGGGCTTGTTGTTTGGGTAGTAGTAGGAGGGACTGTTGTTTGGATAGAAGCACGAGGGGCTGTTATTCGGATGGTACTTGGAGAGGCTGTTGTTTTGATAGTGGATGGAGCTGTTGATTGTGTAGAAGTAGGATGGCGTGTTGTTTGGATAGTAGTGGAAGGAGCTATTGTTTGGATAGTACCAGGAGAGGCTGTTGTTTGGATAGTAGTGGAAGGAGCTATTGTTTGGATAGTACCAGGAGAGGCTGTTGTTTGGATAGTAGTGGAAGGAGCTATCGTTTGGATAGTACCGGGAGAGGCTGCTGCTTCGATAGTAGAGGATGGAGCTGTTGTTTGGATAGAAATTGTAGAGTCTGTTGTTTGGATAGTAGTGGAAGGGGCAGTTGTTGGGGTAGTAGCATGGGGGGCTGTTGTTTGGATAGTTCCAGGAGAGGCTGTTGTTTGTATAGAATTTGGAGGGCCTGTTATTTGGATAGTAGTGGAAGGGGCAGTTGTTTGGATAGTAGTAGGAGGGGCTCTTGTTTGTATAGTAGCGTTAGTGGTGGATGCAGGTGTTGTTTGTATAGTAGTAGGAGGGTCTGTTGTTTGGATAGTGGAAGGGGCATGTGTTTTTATAGTAGCAGGAGGGACTGTTGATTGACTAGGAGAGGCAGTAGTGGATTGGGATGTTGTTTGGGTAGTAGCTGGATGGGTTGTCGTTTGGATAATTGAAGAAGAGACTGTTTTTTGTATAGAAGTGGGAAATGCTGTTGTCTGCATAAAAGTAGGGGCGGTTGCTTGTATGCTAGTGGCAACGGAAGCTGTTTGTAGGGTAGAAGGAGGGGCGGATGCTGTCTGTAGGGTAGTAGTAGGGGCTGCGGTTCGGATTATAGTAGGAGGGGTTGTTTTGTGGACTGTGCTAGTAGGTGCTGTTGTCTGTATGGTAGCAAGGCTGGCCGTGGTTTTGATATTAGTAGGAGGGACTGTTGTTTGGATAGACGTGGGAGGGGCTGATGAAAGGACAGACGTTTGGGAGGGTGTGGCTTGGATAGACGTTGAAGGGGCTGTCGTTTCGATAGACGTGGGAGGGGCTGCTGTTTGGATAGACGTGGGAGGGGCTATGGTTTGGATAGACGTGGAAGGGGCTGTTGTTTGGATAGATGTGGAAGGGGCTATAGTTTGGATAGACGTGGAAGGGACTATGGTTTGGATAGACGTGGAAGGGGCTGATGTTTGGATAGATGTGGAAGGGGCTGCTGTTTGGATAGACGCGGAAGGGGCTGTTGTTTGGATGGACGTGGAGGGGGCTGTTGTTTGGATAGACGTGGACGGGGCTGTTGTTTGGATAGACGTGGGAGGGGCTGATGTTTGGATAGATCTGGAAGGGGCTGCTGTTTGGATAGACGCGGAAGGGGTTGTTGTTTGCATAGCCGTGGGAGGGGCTGTTGTTTGGATGGACGTGGAGGGGGTTGTTGTTTGGATTGACGTGGAAGGGGCTGATGTTTGGATAGATGTGGAAGGGGCTGCTGTTTGGATGGACGTGGAGGGGGCTGCTGTTTGGATAGACGTGG